ATATAATTATATATATATATATATATATATATAATGTATGTATGTCATGTATTGTACTGTATATATATAATATATATATATATATATATATATTATATATATATATATATAATATATATATATATATTATATCCTCTCCCCCGCCCCCTTTTCGCACCTTCATTCTTTTTCCTTATCTACCTATGTCCTACTCCCTCTCCTTCTTCCTCTTCCTCATTCCCCTGAAAACAATATCTTACTAATGTATTTTCTGGATACAGATCCCCCCCCCAATTCAGGGAAAATCCAAAAATCAACGGGAAACGCATCGCGAGATGGAGAAGTGCTGGGTGAAGGGTTGGTGAGGTTGAAGCCTGGCGAACAAGGCGTGAACACATGGGGAGAAGGGGGAAGGGAGGGGAGGAAGTCAAATATTGTTATACTGAGTGTTTGTCTGTGGATCGGTACGGGGCCGCTTAAAGATGTATCAGCTGATTTCGCTGATCTTATTTTTGTAATTGCCCTGGTTTCTGTATATCATTTCATTATCAATTTTATCATTTGGGTATTATTATTTGATTAATGATTCATATATCATCATGCATCATCATCATCACCCACCATTTCATCATCCATCTCACTCATCTCATCTTCTGTCTTCTTCCTTCTTAGTCTCATATACTGCTTAGATATATCAAGATTATCATTTTCATTATCATTACTTTGATCATCATATTGTTTATTATATGTCCCGCACAAGCTAACTTACCAGAGCTTGTATATGATTACTGTTGTTACCTTATATATAATATATTAAATAATATATAATACTATATCATATATATAATATATATATATATATATATAATATATTTATTATATATGTAGTGTGTGTATATGCTGATGTAGTGTGTTGTACATCTAAAATATATGTAATATAATAATATAATAATATATATAATATATATATATAATCATATACATATATGTATTATATATATCCGTATCACTCATACATGTATTATATATTGTATGGATTAGGCATTCTTATTGCATACGTATAGTCATTACTCATTTTATTGTAGTGTTGTGCCGCTCATTCTCGATCGTTAATCATTATGTATTGCTTTATTCACATTGCTTACCCAAGGGCTGCCTGTTCTTCATGGCCCCTGTTCTTCACCTGCTGTCGTTTCCTCTTTGGTTGTATGTTTCTTCGGATGAGTCATTGCTTAGATTTAAAGCGCCAGTTGTTCATCGAAATGTTCTTGTTTTAAACGCTGATTCGCCTGAATAATTAGTTTTTAGTTACCATATTCAATATGGATTATTCTAAAAAAGTTTCTTCGTGTGTTCTTCATAGTCCAGAGAACACGTCAATTCCATCGACAATGCCCTGAATGTAAACAGTGTAGGAGTTAGGCGACGTGTGTCATTTTTTCGCTTGTATGTTGCATTGGTTTGATTGGCCTTTGTGTGGTATGTGTGTGTGCGGCTATGTGTCGATGTGTGCTGTGTATGTAATGTGTGCTGTCGAATGTCGTGCTCGTGCATGTGCGCCTGTGACGTGTAGCGTGTGTGGTGGTTGCGGTAGTTGTCTGTATGTGTGCTTTGTCTGTCATGTGTGTGTGTGCATGTGTGTGTGTTACGTACATAAACAGGAACCCGTGTGTGCCTCTACTTAATAATAAAATTCATTAGTCTTGTTCGTTAAGGCACTGGCATTTTCATTTAGGCAACCGCACATTACCCTCCGTTTGGAAGGTTCTGTGACGGCTTCATCAGTAAAATGGAATTTAATGGTCTAAGATATTGGCATTTCGTAGTCTGCCATTTCATTTCGCTAACAGCTATCCATGATCTGGGGAGGTATTGTCTATATCTCGAGTTTCCGTAAGTTCCGTACTAGTATTGACTGTCACTTGCATATATACTAAGCATTCCTTGTAGGGTAATTAGTTATTGTGATCAGTTCCTACTTGTATAACTTCTGATTAACACTTTGCATCACCAACCATTCCACCTCACCATCTGACATACCTCACCCCCACGCTGCCTTTGTTTTTCCTCAACCCTTCTCTCTCTCTCTCTCTCCTCTTCCTCTTTCTCTTCTCTTCTCTCTTTCTCTCTTACTCCTCTTCTCTTTCTCTCTCTCCAGTCATCTCTCCCCTCTCTCTCTCTCTCTTCTCCTCTCAATCATCTCTTCTCTCTCTCTCCTTCTTCTCATTTCTTCCTTCTCTCTCTTCTTCTCTTCTCTTCTCTTCTCTCTCTCTCTCGTCTCTCCTCTCCCTCTCTCTCTCTCTCATCTCTCTCTCTCTCCTCTCTCATCTCTCTCTCTCGTCTCATCCTCTCTCTCCTCTCTCTCTTTCTCTCTCTCTCTCTCTCTCTCCCTTCCTCTTCTACTTCCTCTCTCTTCGTCTTTCCTCTTCTCTTCTTCATCTCTTCTTCTTTCTCTTCTCTTCTCTACCTTCTCACTCTCTCTCCTTCTCTCTCTCTCCCTCATCTCTCTCTTCTCTTACGCTCATGTCTCTGTTCTCTCCTCTCTCTTTTTCTCGTTCTCTCTCCTCTCCTCTCTCTCTCTCTCTCCTCTACTCTTCTCTCTACTCTCTCTCTCTCCTCTCTCTCTCTCTCTCTCGCTCTCTTCTCTCTGATCTCTCTCTCCTCTCTCTCTCTTCTCTCTCTTTTCTCCTTCTATCCTTTCTCTCTCCCTTCCTCTCCCTCCCTCCCCCATCTCTCACCCTCACCTCCCCCCTCTCTCCCTCTCCCCCCCCCCCCTCTCTCTCTCTCTTCTCTCTCTCTCTTCTCCATCTCATCTCTTCTCTCTCTCTCGTCTCTCATCGTCGCCCCCCTCTCTCTCTCTCACTCTCTCCTCTCTTCTCTCTCTCTCTCTCTCTCTCTCTCTCTCTCTCTCTCTCTCTCTCACTCTCTCTCTCTCTCTCTTCTCTCTACTCCTCTCTCTCCTCTCCCTCTCGTCATCACCCCAACCCCCACGCCTGCCTTTGGATTCCCTCAACCCAGCGCCTCGGCTAACCCCGCCTTCGCCCCCAGACACGTTCCACGACTCCGGCACGAGCGGCCATGAGCCGGACAGCCTCGAGGCCATCCAGACGGTGGTGAGCGGAGACATGGTCGAAGGAGGACGTCTCCCTCCCTCGCCTCCTGACGGCGACGCTGAAGGAGGAGGAGGCGGGGAGGAAGGGGAGGGGGAGGACGGCCCAGCGAGGCGGCGGTGCTTCTGCATCTGGAGCGCTGCGCCCATCGGCAGACCCGCCGGTGCTTCCAGGAGATGAAGGAGCGCTATGAGGCCCTGCAACACCAGCTCAATCAGAGGGCCATCAAAGGTCGAGCACTCGGTCAGGTGAGCAGTTTTTTTTCTTTTTTTTTTTTTTTCTTTTCTTTCTTTCTTTCTTTTGTTTTTTTTTTTCTTTTTCCTTGAGGGGGGTAGTTTTTCTTCTTTCTTTTTCTTGATTGTTTCGGCCTTCTTACTGTTTATAGAGTTGATTAATCCGTTTCTTTTTGTTTAGATTAGTGTTAGTCATGAAGTTTGAGTCATTGAAGACTACACCGTCTGTGATACACAACAATACAAACACACACGCCACGCAAACACGGACAACACCACACACACACACACAACACACACACACACACACACACACACACAAACAAACACAACACACACACACAACACCAAAAAACACCCAGAAAAAATCTCAATCCCCACACACACATCCAAACAAACAAACAAGCACCCAAAATCCAAACACCTGACAAACCAAACCACACGATATATAATTAACCCATTAAACCATCCCCTCCCCCCTCCCCCTCCCCTCTCCCCCCCCCCCACAGAAGCGTCGGCAGCGCCCTGGAGAGCCTCCACATCGAGCACGAGTCGACCCTCAACTCGCTCGAGTCACTCAACTCAGTCAACTCGAACGACCGACTCGTGGACGAACTCAAGGTGAGGAGAGAAACTAATGTATTCTCAGAATGTGGAATTAATCGCCCTTAGAGTACTTTTTTTAGAAAAATAGTATTAAATTATTAAATTATTAAATAGTAATTTTAAGATATAGTATTCTTTGTATTTTGACTTCATGTTTATATAGGTTTTACTGTGTTTTTGTGTTTGTTTGTTTTTTGGGTCCTTGGTTTGAATTTGTATGTCATAAAAATATTAGTAGAATTGAAATGCATGCGAGATAATGATATGCCGTCATTCTACGGAAAACAATGCGTCTTATGGAGTAGGGGAATTGGTGCATAGAATATTTTTTAGGAAATGAGAGAGGAGAGAGACGAGAGAGAGAGAGAGGAGAGAGAGAGAGGAGAGAGAGAGAGAGAGAGAGAGGAGAGAGAGAGAGAGAGAGAGAGAGAGAGAGAGAGAGAGAGGAGAGAGAGAGAGAAAGAGAGAGACGAGAGAGAGAGAGAGAGAGAAGAGAGAGAGAGAGAGAGAGAAGAGAGAAGAGAGAGAGAGAGAGAGAGAGAGAGAGGGAGAGAGAGGCGAGAAAATATAGAAACAAAAACAAATAGGACAGATAGGGATAGATAGAGAAAAAGAAAAAGAAAACTAAAGAGAAATAGAAATGTAAACAAGATAAACTCCATCTTCAATAAACGTTACAAGCATCCTTCAGACTTCACGCAAGACCAACCGAATGGTCCTGAACGCACGCACTCCACACTCAAACATATTAGCGTAGACCCGCTCGTTAAGGGCTGTTACACTCGCTAAACAAGGATAGAGTCGTTAAGGACACACACTGGTTAGGCGTGGATACACTCGTTAATGAGGGACACACTTGGACCCACATACATCATTTGGACTCGTGCGGTAATGAGGCTCGTGTATTTTGTAGATTTTTTGAGGTTTATAAAGAATTGGATCGTCACGCCCCCGTAGATAGAGATAATGTATGGAGCATATCCTGTGTACGTGTTATGGTTTCTGCTGTGTTTTTAGCAAGGAAATATTACCTTTTGGAAACTAAAAAACACCTTAAGTATATCTATACCATTTTTTTTTTTCTCTTCTCCAACACAGCTTGCGGGAGATGACGATCAGCCAGCTGCGGACACGTGTTCTCCAGCTGGAAAAGGACAGGCTGGACAAGGTGCCTCTAGATGCTGCCAAGGAGATCAACCGACTCAATAATAACTTGGTGAGTTGATGGGCGTGAGTGGTTGCTGTTGAGGGGGGGGGGGATTGGAGGGAGGGTAGGATGGGGGGGGGAGTTGGAGGCCCGAGGGGAGAGGGGTGGGGAGGTTGGGGGAGGATGGGGGGGGGGAGTTGGGGGAGGGTAGGATGGTGGGGGGGAGTTGGAGGGAGGATGGATGTGGGGGGGGGAGTTGCGAGCGAGGGATTAGGGATGGGGGGGGGGGAGTTGGAGGGAGGGTAGAGATGGGGAGGAGTTGGAGGGGAGGGTAGGACTGGGGTGTCGAGGTTGGAGGAGGTAGAGCATGTGTGGGGATTGGAGGGAAGGGTAGGATGGGGGGAGTTGGAGGAGGGAGATTTGGGGGGAGTTGGAAGAGAGAGGTAGAATTGGTGGGGGAGCAGGGCAGTTGGAGGCGAGAGGTAGGATGGGGGAGGAGTTTGGAAGGGAGAGGTTAGAGGGGCAGGGGTGTGTTCAGAAGAGAGGAAGGATAGGGATAGGGGAATGAGGAGGTGAGGGCTAGGGCATGCGGGGGAGTTCGGAGGGAGGTAGATGCGTGGGCGGGGAGTTGGAGGGAGGGTAGGATGGAGGGAGTTGGAGGCGAGGTAGGATTGGGAGGGGAGTTGGAGGTGAGGGTAGAAATTTGGGGCGGGGGTTGGAGGGAGGGATAGGATGGCAGGGGGGGAGTTGGAGGCGGGAGGCGAGGGTAGGATGGGGGGAGGAGTATGGAGGACGAGGCGTAGGGTGGAGGGGGTGATGTACGAAGAGAGGAAGGATAGGGTAGCGGGGATGTGGAGGCGAGGTAGGATGGGGGGAGTTGAGGCGAGGGGTAGGATTGGGGGGGGAGTTGGAGGGAGGGTTAGGATGGGAGGAGTTGGAGGGAGGTAGGAATTGGGAGGGGGAGTTGGAGGGGGGTAGAATTGAGAGGGGGGGTAGTTGGAGAGCTGAGGGTAGGATTGGGGGGAATAGGAGGAGGCATAGGATGATGGGGGGGGAGTCTGGAGGAGGTGGGGTGGGGGGGGGAGTTTGGAGGAAAAAGAGGGTAGGATGAGGGGGTGTTGGAGGGAGGTGGCATGGGTAGGGGGAGTTGGAGGGAGAGGGAGGAATGGGGGGGAGTTGAGGGAGGGGTAGGATGGGGGGGTTTGGAGGGAGGGTAGGATGGTGGGGGGATTGGAGGGAGGGGAGGATGGGGGGAGGGAGGGAGGGAGGTAGGAGGGGGAAGATGTGAAGGGGGAGTTGGAGGGAGGTAGGAAGGGGATGGTTGGAGGAGGTAGGATGGGGGGGGGAGTTGAGGGAGTGTAGTATGGGGGGAGTGGGAGGGGTAGATGGGGGGGGAGTTGAGAGAGAGCGGTAGGATGGAGGGTGATGTAGAAGAGAAAAGGATTAGGGGTAGGGGGATGAAGAAGGGGTTGGGAAGAGGCAAGGCAAGGAGATGAATGGGGAGGAGATGGGGGAATGTTGGAGAGAAAGGGTGGAGTAAGGATGGAGTAAATGGGTTGAAAAGGGGGGTGATGGGAGAGAGGGATGGCGAGGGGAGAGGAATAGAAAGGGGAAGGGAGGATGGGAAGAATGGGGATAGGCGATGGAATAAGGAGGGAAAGGAGGAAAAAGGGGGAATGGAAGATTTTTAGTAGAAAGGTAACGTGAAGGGAGAAGGGGATGCAAGGTTGAGGAGTGGAAGGTGGTGGGAGGAGATTAAGAGGGAGAAGGAAGGGAGGAAAGGAGGAAAAGGGAAAAAGAGAATATGAGAAAGGGTGACAACAGGGTGGAGAAAGGGGGGTGGGGGTGGCGAGGGAGGGGAAGTGGGGGAGGAATTAAGAGGGAGAGGGAAGGGAGGAAAGGAAGAAAGGAAAAAAGAGAATATTGAGAAAGGGTGACAACAGGGTGGAGGAAAGGGGGTGTGTGGCGAGGAGGGGAAGTGGGGGAGGAGATTTAAGAGGAGAGGGAAGGGAGGAAAGGAAGAAAAGGAAAAAGATAATATGAGAAGGGTGAAAAGGGTGGAGGAAAGGGTGGGGTGGCGAGGGGGGGAAGTGGGGGAGGAGGAAGCGGTTGAAGCGAAGGGAAAAGGGTTGTGTCAAGGAAAGTGACGAGGAGAGAAAGTGGAAGGAGGGTGAAAAAGGAGGAAATAGCAGAGGTTAATAAGAAAGAAGAAAAAAGAAGGGAGGGGAAACAGGATAAAAGGTGATGAAGAAGGAAAAGAGAAAACACACTAGACACACATACACACACACTACATATACACAAATATGTATATGTATGTTTGTATGTATGTATGTAGTATGTATGTATGTATTATATTATATTATATTATATATATATTATATATATATATATATATATATATATATATATTATATATATACAA